TATGGTAAAACAGCTAACGTAGAGCCATGCATAGGATTTGTATAATGGATTGTAAGATGGGAGTAATATCATTATAAAATTAAACAGAGTATTTATAGGAATGCACTTTTAATTTACTAACCTCTTCATCATAGCTATCACAAGTTTTTGACAGTTCTTACTACTAATATTTTGAACTCTTTGTTTCTAATAGAAAGAAATAATGGAAATCTGACAATTCCTAATTAAGTAGTAAAAATTATATATTGTAAAGAAAATTAAAAAAAAAGAAAAATCTGTCAAATCAGTATTTAGCAATTTACAACTGCAGAGATACTACTGAGTTACTAGATGAAACATTGTCAAGTGCTGAGTCAAACTTATCAAATTCTATTATGCTGTTCATTTCAGTTACTACTTTTTCTTCACACTATTTTATATTAAGTTTTTTGCATCCTTGGGTTTTTATCTCATTTAAGAGAAGCAACACATAATATTGAAAGTCTAAACAAATTTACACTAATTAAATTTTACATTGTCTTAACTAAACTATGTAAATAAATTTAAAATACATAAATTTAACAATTTAACAACTTTACTGGTCTAAGCCTAAATCAAAGAAAAACTAATAGACAGTAAAATATCTAATAGTGGCAATGCTATATTATATATATTAGCATTTTTTTCAGATTTCGGATTAGACAAGAAAGATTGTTCCATAGATTTATAGTTTTGATAATATTGAAATAATGGATTTCATGAAGGTGATTATTTAAAGTTAAAATTGGAACCTCATCATTTTAATGATATTTTTAAATATTGACAGTCATGTTAGCATTTTACAACAAACATTACATTATTATTTTTAACTAAAGACTTACTTGCTTGAGATAATGGAAATCCATAATGTTTATCCTTTTTATTTAAAGATGATGAAGATTGATGTGTCTTAAAATGAATCTCCTGGTCATCACAATCAATATCATCTTTGTTTATTATTTTTTGACCTACACAACACAAACATAGAGAATATTTGAATTTCATCTAACAACTTGTCTTCTCATGTAGCAATTTTACAATTAAAAATTTTTTACAAATTACTTTACAGATTATTAACTTTATAAGTAAAATAGGGTATATAGTATGGTATATAATATTATAGGTTTCATACTGCTAAACATTTGGTAATAACACCAGAATATCATTAAAGAATAAAAATTTTAAAATGACATTTTGAAGTAAGTTACTCCCTTTCTTGAAACAAATCATCATATTTTTTTCTTTCAGCCTTTTTTAACTATAGTAATTCTTTTATAAAAACCACTGATATTATTTTTAATTTTTAGAGTTAAAGAAGAAAAATTCTGAGAATGTTGTTCTCTTTTCTCAAATCCAAATAGATTTTTTTGCGTTAAAAGCAGTTGAAAATTAAGTAGAATTAAAAACTTAATCTAGTTTCTTTAAGCATTCAAGTTTACTCAACAATTAAGTTACTTATTAGAGTAAAATAATCTAGCTAACCACACCATTAAAACTTTATTAATCATATCTACTTGATTCAAGTAGAAATACAAACACAACCTAGTTTCAACGAAGGCATACAACTTTAAACTAAAAATACTCCAATAAATTTTCAAATTTAATTCTACAAAAAAACAATACAAACACTTGGTTGATTTAAATATATACTAATTTATATAATTTTTACTTAAATAAATCAATTCGCCTAATTGAAGGTCACGCCATTATTTGAGTAAACATACTCTTTTAAATATTGCCGTGCTGTACGTTTAAAAAAAGTTTTTTTATCACGTTAAAAAAACGTTTTAAAAACGTTCATAAGCTAACTGAGAAATTTTGTAAGTTAATAAAAAAAAATAAAACGTTTAAAAAAACGCTAAAAAAACGTTTAAATTAACATTAAAAAAAAACGTTTGCAAAAAAACGTTTTAAAAACGATTGTATTGGTTCTTTTAACGTCCGACCGTAAATTGAACGGAATTAAAACGTTTTAAAAACGTCCTGTGCTTACTGGGAGGTGTTGTGCCAACTTTCTGGGTAAATGAGAAAAAGAAGATATAATGGTGGCTTAAAAAAATGTTGCTTGTCGTTAAGTCATACAAAAAACAAGAAACACCACAATCTGATTGGAAATTTTTAAAATTAATCAAAGTAAAGTCATCAGATGGTAAGTCATTATTCATTTTATTTTTAAAAGTTTACAGCATTTTTTTTCTCACATTTAATTGTTCTCTGAGCTTTAAAAATCTTAATGCGTAGATACCATCTCACATTTTGAAAGGTTTTAGGTAATGGAAGTAGATATTATTTTTCATAAAAACTGTTTTTTAAAAAAAGACCTAAATTAGAAGTAACATTTTAATTTTAGATGAGGAATTATGTCAGACATAAGAGTATACTGACACCGAGTCACCAGCATCAGAGTTGTTAACTGACAAGGTGATTCCTGCATCAAAATCTAAGCCAGGTTAAAATTTATAGCACAATTATAGTCATCCTT